CCCTTTTGGAAACCCCCCCCCCCCCCTGATCTGGCCTTATACTGTCAGTACGGCTGGGGATGAGTACCGTCCAATCACGTGTCATCTCATTGTTGGTTTTCCAGTTACGAGTGGGTAAAGTTTGAAGTCTGGAAGCTGGGCGAAGGGCCGATGCCTCAGGAGGTTTATGAGAACAGCTCAGCCATAAGCTTTGAGGCTTTCCAGGAACAATCCTTGGAGGAGATGAAACCGGATAATGTGTTATCAGGTAAGATGATCGATGCCGGATCGCTGAGCCCATTGAAGACCTGACGGTACATCTGTAATAACGTCCTCGGCGCAGGGCATCGTGTTACAGAACATTAACCCCTTCAACTTTCACACCTGAATCTGATGTCTCCCTGGTGCCATAACCTACCTTTCATGTATCCGGTGGGTTCCCCGACGTATACTGAATCACACCCTCCTAATTGCACTGTGTGTGGCCGTGTTTCTCTCCCTCCGTCCGTATGAACCCCCTGAGCAGTGTCTGTGTGGTCACCATTGTCTGATTGTGGTGTCACCTGTGTTGGCTACGTTGTCACTCACCGATACTCTCTGACAATCCAGTAACAGATTCATACAGATGAGTCAGCTGATGGGAGTGCTGTGTTACCATTGACCGTCATTACAGAAGCTTAAACGGACATTGATCCCTGACAGACTGCGGGCGGGAAGGGGTTCAGCGAACTGACTGCGGGCGGGAAGGGGTTCAGCGAACTGACTGTGGGCGGGAAGGGGTTTCAGCGAACAGATTGGGGGCGGGAAGGGGTTTCAGCGAACAGATTGGGGGCGGGAAGGGTTCAGTAAACCTGTTGCTTTGCCCCGTGTGGGTTGATATCGGGTTTTCTTAGACGTTCTCTTATCCATCATCTGTCGTCCTCCATATTTCGGACTTGTCTCGGGTCCCTTTTTATGACGTTTGCTCTCTTCCAGGAACGTTGGACTATCCGGGGTCCCAAAGAAATGTACAATGTGTATACTATTATCTCTATTTATTCCGATTTCTCTGATAAACTATAAATTCCTTCAGATTTTTTTTAACATTTTTATCTGATTTTATTTTTTCTGAGATGCAAACAATTTGTTTTCCGTGTAACTGATATCAATTAAATTTCCGTTCCCTATGTGAGACTTCTGGAATGGTGAGGGGTCGGACATGGCAGACGTGCGTCATCTTTGCGGTCTCACTAAAGAAAAGCGTCACTTTCACTAAAACAAACTCAATACATTTATATATAATCATTACATTTCGCGATATCATTTAATATAAGAACCTTTCCATCTCCTTCTGCAGCCAGATATGATATTCTATAAATGTAACTTCATTGCCCCGCCCCCTCGGCTGTACCGAATGCTGCCAAAAATCGGATTTCCTTCTCATGTAAATAGTAATCTGCTATGCCCGTAAGTCAGCACGGAGCTGGAAGTTAAATTGCAGACATGCCCTGCAATCATTTATGGAGATTGCACAGGTGTTGGTAATGAAAGCAGACCCCTCCACCTAGCTGCCAGTTTGGCAGTAGCATTGGCAAGGCTTCTGCCAGTATCTGCGGAACAGAACAGGGTAAGGGCTCGTTCCCACCATAGGGGCATAGAACTACTAGGGATGCACCAATACCGGTATAGAGTACGAGTACCAATATTTATTTATTTTTCGCTACTCGCCGATACCGAATACCGATACAGAATTCCCATTCAGGAAGCCAGACGGCCTGTAATGACTCGCCACTTGGGTTCCTGATCAGCAGGGAAGCCGTCCCTGTGCTTCTCGTCACTAGCTGACGAGAAAGCATGGAGCCGGCTTCCCGGCCAATCAGGAAGCCGGGCAGCGTGTAATGACGCGCTGCCCGGCTTCCTGATAACGATAGTATCGGGCTAGGCATCGGAGCATTTGGGAGAGTATGAGTACTCCCCTAAATACTCGGCACTGATACCAATACTAGTATCGGTGCATCCCTAAGAATTGCCATTAAAAAGGAGGTGAAACAAAAGCGAGCACTGCAATGTCTTATACCAAGGGATAGGCAACCCCAGCACCCCAGGTGTTGTGGAACTACAAGTCCCATGAAATATTGCGAGACTCTGACAGTCAGAGATATGAATGGAACTACATAATGAGTGGGGTCGGGGTCCTCCCTGGGAACAGGCTCATTGCTACTAATGTCCAAAACGTCTTACAATGTTATATTTTGTTACAAATGGTCCCAGATGCAGAAACGTTCCCGTCCATACTTCTAGATTTATTTACAGTGAAGCAGCCAGATCAGTACAGCAACCCGGCAGAGCACACGCCTGTAGGACTACAAGTGACAGAACAGCCCTGCATGTGGATCCAGAGCCCTGAGGAAGGGTGTGAGATCCGCCGAAGCGCGTTGGATATGATAAAATCTGTACCGGACCGATGATCTCTTTGCGGCGCTCTCACTCTTCACACGTTCTTTGGATATTGATGAAGGACGATCGTTTCCTGGCCTTGTTCTGCCAGGAGATGAATTCGGCGTGTTTGGTATCGGCTTATAAGTTAAACAAACGCACATTCTACTACAAAAAAGAATCAGTTTAAATAAACGTTCAGTATGTTAAAAAAAAAAAACATCGATGAAGAGACTTCCTTCTTCCGTTCCGACTAGATTTTGTTTCCTTTTGTGGACATTTCTACCAAACAAAAACAAGAAAATATTTTATTTCTTCTTTTATAATGTAAAATGTGAGACGAAGTACAATAGAAGCCGGAGAAATGGCTGAACTTAAAGGGCCCCGTTCACGCCAGATGCAGTGCGTTCCGACCTGATTCTAGCCAGAACGCACTGCATCACAGTGCGGCTGGCTCACTTTTTTCATGGGGCAGGAGTGGGCGTGGCGGGCCATTGAAGTGAATGGCACCGTAGCCACGCCCTCTGGCCGCACGGGATCGCCAGGCACGATACGGCCGTGCACGCAGCACAGAGCCGTACGTGCCGGCCGTTTCTTGTGTGAATGAGTCCTAGATATCACGGGGAGTCAATATGGAGGAGTGGCCTGAGAGGAGGAAGGACCGAGACTAATCTTACCGATGTTTTCCCCTTTTGATGGCGGTTGAGGTTCTTTGCCTCCTATGACTCCCGGTGTGAGGAAGGTCTCGCTGTCTTCCTCCATTCCCACCACCAGCGTCATGAAGTCCACCACCGTGTCTATGTTCTCCCGGTTCCGGCTCATGTCCTTGAGCGAGCAGAGAACGCTGAGGCGGCTGAACGATTTGAGCTCGCATATGTTGGCCCGAAGGAAGAGAATAATGATGTTGAGGTCGTTGATGGGGCAACCCAACATCTTCTTGCTCACGAGGTCGAAGGCCGGGAGCATTTCGTAGATGTTCAGGAACTGTTTGTCCCAGCGGAAGAGCTTACTGATGTTGTACAATATCACCGGCACCAGGAGGATGTAGACCGCGGCGTTCACCACGCTGATGATCTGGAAGATGGTCAGAGAGATCAGTTTGCATCTGACGAAGATGGCAGAGGAGGAGGAGGAAGTGTCCGACGGCAGGAAGCTGGGCTTGATGTGGCAGTTGAACTCGTCTTGGTAGAAGACGCTGAGGTGGAAGAAGCCCAGGTAGAAGCAGGTGAAGACGATGAGAAGAAGTAGGAGGATGTTGCGGAAGAGGTAGGTGAACGCGATGAAGTGGGAGCGCTGTTTGCCCGACAGGTAACGCTCCAGCAGGGGATATTCAAAGTAGCGCACATGGCGGGCACTGATAATAAGAAACAAAAAGATTGATAAATACATGGATCCATAGTGTCAGGTGACGTCCACCACAGATTGCATGGAAGAGTTCCTCCTACTTATATACAGTTGGGGCAACCGTACTGGTCACCAGTGAATTGTATCTGAGGAGATTCTCATCGCCGATGTGTGTTCAGGAATCTATACTGATAGAATATAATCTGTATCAGGACAAGATTAACCATAGAACTCAGGAATGGAAACTCTGATCTATATCCTAACCCCAACCTCAACCTAAAACCCACACCTCAACCCTACCCAACATTGACCCCCCAGTGTTACCCCAACCTAAACCTAACACCAGCACGCACACGCACATTGACCCTCAGTGTTGCCCCAACCTAAACCTAACACCAACACCCACATCTCAACCTAACTCACCCAACATTGACCCTCAGTGTTACCTAAACCTAACACCCACACCTCAACCCAACCCTACCCAACATTGACCCTCAGTGTTACCTAACACCAACACCCACACCTCAACCTAACTCTACCCAACATTTATCTTCTGTGTTACCCCAACCTAAACCTAACACCAGCACGCACACCTCAACCCTACCCAACATTGACCCTCAGTGTTACACCAAACTCAACCTAACACCCACACCTCAACCCAACCCTACCCAACATTGACCCTCAGTGTTACACCAAACTCAACCTAACACCCACACCTCAACCCAACCCTACCCAACATTGACCCTCAGTGTTACACCAAACTCAACCTAACACCCACACCTCAACCCAACCCTACCCAACATTGACCCTCAGTGTTACACCAAACTCAACCTAACACCCACACCTCAACCCAACCCTACCCAACATTGACCCTCAGTGTTACACCAAACTCAACCTAACACCCACACCTCAACCCAACCCTACCCAACATTGACCCTCAGTGTTACACCAAACTCAACCTAACACCCACACCTCAACCCAACCCTACCCAACATTGACCCTCAGTGTTACACCAAACTCAACCTAACACCCACACCTCAACCCAACCCTACCCAACATTGACCCTCAGTGTTACACCAAACTCAACCTAACACCCACACCTCAACCCAACCCTACCCAACATTGACCCTCAGTGTTACACCAAACTCAACCTAACACCCACACCTCAACCCAACCCTACCCAACATTGACCCTCAGTGTTACACCAAACTCAACCTAACACCCACACCTCAACCCAACCCTACCCAACATTGACCCTCAGTGTTACACCAAACTCAACCTAACACCCACACCTCAACCCAACCCTACCCAACATTGACCCTCAGTGTTACACCAAACTCAACCTAACACCCACACCTCAACCCAACCCTACCCAACATTGACCCTCAGTGTTACACCAAACTCAACCTAACACCCACACCTCAACCCAACCCTACCCAACATTGACCCTCAGTGTTACACCAAACTCAACCTAACACCCACACCTCAACCCAACCCTACCCAACATTGACCCTCAGTGTTACACCAAACTCAACCTAACACCCACACCTCAACCCAACATTGACCCTCAGTGTTACCCAACACCAACACCCACACCTCAACCTAACTCTACCCAACATTTATCTTCTGTGTTACCCCAACCTAAACCTAAAACCCACACCCCAACCCTACCCAACATTGACCCTCAGTGTTACCCCAACCTAAACCTTACACCAGCACGCACACCTCAACCCTACCCAACATTGACCCTCAGTGTTACCCCAACCTAAGCCTAACACCAACACCCACATCTCAACCTAACTCACCCAACATTGACCCTCAGTGTTACCTAAACCTAACACCAACACCCACACCTCAACCCTACCCAACATTGACCCTCAGTGTTACCCCAAACTAAACCTAACAGCAACACCCACACCTCAACCTAACTCTACCCAACATTTACATCTGTGTTACCCCAACATAAACCTAAAACCCACACCTCAACCCAACCCTACCCAACATTGACCCCCAGTGTTACCCCAACCTAAACCTAATACCCACACCCCAATCCAACATTGACCCTCAGTGTTACCCCAACATAAATCGAACACCAGCACCCACACCTCAACCCAACCCTACCCAATATTGGCCCTCAGTGTCACCCCAACCTAAACTGAATCCCAACCTTCAACTAATACTAATCCTTAATGTTAATCCCTCTGCAGAATTCTAAATTAAATATAATCAAAGTGCTAACAAACTATTGACATATGTACAGGTTACTTATCCAGCACTGCTTCCTCCTCCATGTCTGACCAGACACACACTGTCACCTTATATACAGGTTACTGATCCAGCACTGCTTCCTCCTCCGTGTCTAACCAGACACACACTGTCACCTTATATACAGGTTACTGATCCAGCACTGCTTCCTCCTCCATGTCTGACCAGACACACACTGTCACCTTATATACACATTACTGATCCAGTACTATTTACCCACCTTTTCAGCTCCTCCCAGAACAGCTGCGGGTCGGCAGAGCTCCGGTGAGTCTTCACCAAGTGTTGGACCAGCTTGATGGATCGGTTGTAGGATTTGTCCAGCTCATCGATAATGAAGAGGAGATCGGTGTACAGCGCAGACTTGGAGATATACCGCCAAAGGACGACCGGAATGTACATGGCGATCGCGATGACTGTCAGCGTGAACGGGAACACCTGTGAAATGACAGGACCAGGTGAGTCTCCGGGCAATGGCTACGTACCTATGTCCTGGATTGCATTGGCAGTTCATAAAATGCCTCAACGTGTTGCCTGGAGCGGCTCCTTAAAGGGTCACTCCACCCCACAGTGATATTACAGTTGTAGAGTCCCAGTGGGCGGAGTCAGCCCCTGGCTTCCAATCTTGGATGCCCCATCAGTGAGATCTCCCGGCCATAATCCCCAACTGTGTTCCTGTCCACGTGGTTGGCAAGCGTACAATGCATTATGGGTAAGAAAATCAGGATTGTCCTTACCTTGTGGATCCAGAGGGAGCTGACGATGTGATTTCCTTCGGTGGTGAAGTCGTGGTGCGTCAGGGACTGCCAGCAGTGCTTATCTACGAACTGCACTTGCTTCACTGTGAAGTTATTTGGAGGGAAGCAGATTACTTGTGACCCTGGAAGAGAAGGAAGACTCCAGTGTAATGTACAACATATAACGCTGAGGCCCTGCAGACCACCGGCCTGTTCACCTCTGTCCGAGAGTGCCGAAAAGGGCCGGGTCAAGGGGCAGGCAGAAGAGGCAGCCGCCACAGGCGCTTCAGCAGGAAGGGGGTGCAAAATGGGCAGAACCTGCTACCTATGCTGCTGCACAGTAGTTTGCAGCCCAAGTGGGGGGGATGAAGAAATGCTTCCTCCTGCCTGCAACAGACTGATCACCGTGGGATGGGAGACTGAAGTAATGCTTCCTCCTTCCTGCCTGCAGCAGACTGATCACTGGGGAGGGGAGACTGAGGAAATGCTTCCTTCTGCCTGCAGCCGACTGATCACTGGGGGAGTGGAGGACTGAGGAAATGTTCCCTCCTGGGATCCTGTTGCTGTGTATTGTGACGTCAGGAATTTATAGATGAAGATTTTTACATTTACAGGAAGGTCTGACGTCAGATAACAGCCAATGGTGACAGGTGATGCCATAATGGAGTCAGATAACAGCCAATGGTGACAGGTGATGCCATAATGGAGTCAGATAACAGCCAATGGTGACAGGTGATGCCATAATGGAGTCAGATAACAGCCAATGGTGACAGCCAGGTGATGCCATAATGGAGTCAGATAACACAGCCAATGGTGATGTCATAATGGAGCATACGCTGATAGATCGGATTGTCTATTCTGAGCTCACGCATGCCGGCTCAGCAGCAAAGTGTCTCTGGGAATTATTATGACGTCTCTCTAGCTTTGTGTCATAGAGTAGTCGGTCGTACACAGGACACTTACCTGAAGACATCTCCCGGGCAAACGTTAAGGAGACAAGTAACAGCGGCAGACCGACCGTGACCAGCTTGATAATACGGTCCAGAGGTAACTCCAGTCGCAGGGCTTTCTTATTGGGCGGTTGGTCGGGCAGTAACGCGTCGGAGAGCATGTACTCCGCTGCCCTGTGTGCGATCGACATCTTCTCCGCGAACATTAATTATCGAAGAAAGAAAAAACAAAATGATCCCTTCAGCAGAATCTGCGTCCCCCCTGCCAGCTCACACGACCCTCCGGAATGACAGCGCTCGGCTCCTTCTCACCAACTTTAAATACTCCCATCATCCCCTGCCAAAAATAAAATCCTTTATCCGCTATGAGATCGCACACAAGGCGGCCAGAAATAGACAGCCGCGTCCCTGCAGCGATCGGCAGCCTGTAATTTACAGACCACAGACTTGTAATGTCGCATTCTGTGATCCTGAAAAGAGCGAATATTTGTGGCGGGGCTCCGTGTACAAGACGGACTTTATAGGAAACGTTACAATTACCGGGGAACGATATTCCAGATGGTTCTATATAAAGAGATCTGAGGTTTTATGTCCTTTATTCATTACTCCTCCGAACGCAGAGCCGGCCGTGTGTCCTCCTCTCTTCTAAAATGTGTCAAAACTCAACTTTACCCCCAAAATTCAGCCAGAAACAGGCCAAGTGACAAGTTTTTCTTTTCATTCCAAGTACAAAAATATATTATCCTTTCTTCTAGAATAAGATCTCTCTCCTACATGTCTCCCCTCTCTCTCTCCCCTGGCTGTCTTTGCTCTCTCACCCATGTCTCTCCTCCCTGCCTCTCCTCTCTCTCCTCCCTGTCTCTCCTCTCTCCCCTGGCTGCCTCTCCTCTCTCCCCTGGCTGTCTATTCTCTCTCTCTCTCCTGCTGACTCTTTTCTTTCCTCTCATCCTTCTCTCCCCTTA